ATGGATGAATGGTAGACTTATAAATATGCAAGATAGATTCTTCTTTGGATTTTATCAAGAATCTCTAAATACATAGCAGAATCACCAAACCAGATGTGGCAGCAATATTCAATGCATGGATGAATGGTAGACTTATAAATATGCAAGATAGATTCTTCATTGGATTTTATCAAGAATCTCTAAATACATAGCAGAAGCACCAAACCAGATGTGGCAGCAATATTCAATGCATGGATGAATGGTAGACTTATAAATATGCAAGATAGATTCTTCTTTGGATTTTATCAAGAATCTCTAAATACATAGCAGAAGCACCAGACCAGATGTGGCAGCAATATTCAATGCATGGATGAATGGTAGACTTATAAATATGCAAGATAGATTCTTCTTTGGATTTTATCAAGAATCTCTAAATACATAGCAGAAGCACCAGACCAGATGTGGCATATTCAATGCATGGATGAATGGTAGACTTATAAATATGCAAGATAGATTATTCTTTGGATTTTATCAAGAATCTCTAAATATATAGCAGAAGCACCAGACCAGATGTGGCAGCAATATTCAATGCATGGATGAATGGTAGACTTATAAATATGCAAGATAGATTCTTCTTTGGATTTTATCAAGAATCTCTAAATACATAGCAGAATCACCAAACCAGATGTGGCAGCAATATTCAATGCATGGATGAATGGTAGACTTATAAATATGCAAGATAGATTCTTCTTTGGATTTTATCAAGAATCTCTAAATACATAGCAGAAGCACCAAACCAGATGTGGCAGCAATATTCAATGCATGGATGAATGGTAGACTTATAAATATGCAAGATAGATTCTTCATTGGATTTTATCAAGAATCTCTAAATACATAGCAGAAGCACCAGACCAGATGTGGCAGCAATATTCAATGCATGGATGAATGGTAGACTTATAAATATGCAAGATAGATTCTTCTTTGGATTTTATCAAGAATCTCTAAATACATAGCAGAAGCACCAGACCAGATGTGGCAGCAATATTCAATGCATGGATGAATGGTAGACTTATAAATATGCAAGATAGATTCTTCTTTGGATTTTATCAAGAATCTCTAAATACATAGCAGAAGCACCAGACCAGATGTGGCAGCAATATTCAATGCATGGATGAATGGTAGACTTATAAATATGCAAGATAGATTCTTCATTGGATTTTATCAAGAATCTCTAAATACATAGCAGAAGCACCAAACCAGATGTGGCAGCAATATTCAATGCATGGATGAATGGTAGACTTATAAATATGCAAGATAGATTCTTCTTTGGATTTTATCAAGAATCTCTAAATACATAGCAGAAGCACCAGACCAGATGTGGCAGCAATATTCAATGCATGGATGAATGGTAGACTTATAAATATGCAAGATAGATTCTTCTTTGGATTTTATCAAGAATCTCTAAATACATAGCAGAAGCACCAGACCAGATGTGGCAGCAATATTCAATGCATGGATGAATGGTAGACTTATAAATATGCAAGATAGATTCTTCTTTGGATTTTATCAAGAATCTCTAAATACATAGCAGAAGCACCAGACCAGATGTGGCAGCAATATTCAATGCATGGATGAATGGTAGACTTATAAATATGCAAGATAGATTCTTCTTTGGATTTTATCAAGAATCTCTAAATACATAGCAGAAGCACCAGACAAGATGTGGCAGCAATATTCAATGCATGGATGAATGATAGACTTATAAATATGCAAGATAGATTCTTCTTTGGATTTTATCAAGAATCTCTAAATACATAGCAGAATCACCAAACCAGATGTGGCAGCAATATTCAATGCATGGATGAATGGTAGACTTATAAATATGCAAGATAGATTCTTCATTGGATTTTATCAAGAATCTCTAAATACATAGCAGAAGCACCAGACCAGATGTGGCAGCAATATTCAATGCATGGATGAATGGTAGACTTATAAATATGCAAGATAGATTCTTCTTTGGATTTTATCAAGAATCTCTAAATACATAGCAGAATCACCAGACCAGGTGTGGCAGCAATATTCAAAGCATGGATGAATGGTAGACTTATAAATATGCAAGATAGATATTCTGATGAGAAAATCTTTCTAGCCCGACCCAATGAACTAACATGCCTAGCAGTAGGCCCAGCAACTGGGTCAATGTAATCGTTTCCCTTGATGTCAGCCGAAAACTTTAGCCCGTGAAGTTGTAATGGATCTCTCTCCTGGAAATTAGCATCAGCCATATTGATGGAAGGTGAACAAGGTTCCCTCTGAAGATAGCCGTTTCATTTTGCAGGCGTTAAAATTAAAAAAAGCCATTACTTGCCCCAGTTAACAACAGATTGTAGGTCATTTTAGTGATCTGCTGCCAATTTGAACTTATCTGACTTACCATTAAGATAGGAACAAAGATAACGGATGTCAGGGGGTGCCAAGTACTTTATCGAATGAGAGAAGTTACCGAATAATTATAGCAATGGATTCTGTATGTATTAGTTCCACTTGAAGTCTGGAATGAATTTGAAGCCTAAGAGACGTTCAAAGCTAAGAATAAAAAAGGATATTTAAACCCTGAGAGTTTGTCAGCATTTACGTACCTGATAAACTCAGACTTCTTTTAAAAAAATATTAATCAACGAAATGCCTTTCAGGTTTCTCGCCCGGTTTCCGCAGTTACTAAACATGGTTGAACTGAGATAATAATTGATTCCGTAAATATAGTTTTATTTTCATTTTTTTTCTAATTTAGCAAATTGGATTGGAAACAATGGAAAATTAGTGCAAGAATAAATAAAAGAACCAAAAGAGGAAAAGAAAAAAAAAAAAAAAAGGTGGCGCTTGAGAATGAAGTGAATTTTATTGGAATGCTGGTCGTGTTATGGAATCTTAGAGAAGAAGCAAAAATAGATGAAAGAAAACACTTTTGCGAATTCGTCACGTTTGTAATAAAGGGAGAGAAAGGAGGAAAGTGGAGAGCGGTGAGAAAGAAAAAAAAGGAAAGGAATAGACGAAGCAATAGAAAGGGTGAAAACGTAAGTGGCTGGTGGTAAGAGAGTGACAGGCGAAAGGGAAAGAAAAGGTAGGGAGATTATGAATAAAAGATGAAAAAGGAGAAGATGGTAGAGGAAAAGAGCGAATGATTACAGTAAAGGAAAGAAGAGAGAGAGAGAGAGAGAAAGAGAGAGAGAGAGCACTAAAGAAAGGGTGACATATGAGAGAAAAAGAAAAAGAGTGGTTAAGAGGCCGATAAGGAGAACAAAAGAGAAGAGAGAGAAAAAGTATGGAGACTATAAGAGAAGAAGAAAACAGAGAAAATGAAAAAAATGTGAGAGAAAGTGCGAGAAGGATAGATAGAAACAAAGTTAGACAGAAAGATATATATATATATATATATATATATATATACACAAACAGAATATATATACATATATATATGTCTATATCTATCTACATATATATATATATATATATATATATATATATATATAAAAATAAAAAGGCTTAAACACTAATATTAGTGTTTAAGCCTTTTTATTATATCCTTACTCTGTCCTGGACATTGAGTTCTACCTGGATTCTTCCTCTTGGAATTTTTATTCTAAAAATATACATGTATGGGTATTTTTATATATTTTGCGTATGTATGTATATTTACCACTAATATTATCTCTCTCTCTCTCTCTCTCTCTCTATATATATATATATATATATATATATATATATATATATAGAGAGAGAGAGAGGAGAGAGAGAGAAAGATATATATATATATATATATACACACACACAAACAGAATATATATATATATATATATATATATATATATATATATATATGTCTATATCTATCTACATATATATATATATATATATATATATATATATATATATATATATATATATATGGAGAGAGAAAGATATATCAGATATAAATTTGTGTGTATATACATATCTATAAACAGATATGTATATACACACAAGCAGAATATATACATACATATATATATACTATATATATATATATATATATATATATATATATATATATATATATATATATATAGAGAGAGATAGATAGATAGATAGATAGATACACGCGAGAGCAGATAGGAGTGATAGAGGAAAGGATGAAGAGAAGGATAGGGGATAGGTCAAGGCAACTGGAGATGTCGATTGACATTACATTTGAATCGTTGGAGATTATAGCTATCAGGGAAACAAGAAATGAGGAGGGAGTTCCACTGGCGAGAGGTGCGAGATATGAAGCTATTGGAGTAGAAGAGACGGCTACATTTAACAGTTTCGACAGTGAAAGGGTGAGAGCGAGATGCCAGCCTAGTTGAACGCTTAAATTCATGAAGTCTGGGAACCAACGAAAGCAGCTCTTCGGAGCAGTTACCGTGAAAGTATTTGTAAAAAAGGCAGAGGGAGGCGACTGCACGTCTGTGAGAGAGCGACTGCAGACGAGATGCCAGATCAGGGCCAATTACATTGCATATCCGTCTTTGGATTTTATCAAGGACCTTGAGACAATTTGACGCGGTTGGAAACCATTATATATATATATATATATATATATATATATATATATATATATATATATATATATATATATATATATTGAGCCTGATCAGTACATAGATGCCTGATAGGCACTTGGATGGGTAACCATCAAAAATATCAGGTGCTGTGAATTTGTATGTGCGAGTAGTATGCCTTACAATCATACTACGCTGAAATACCTGTTCTCTACGATCCCTGAAGTTAAGCAACGTTGATCACCGTCCATTCCTAAATGGGTGACCACTTAGGAATACTAGATGCTATAAGCATGGATGTACAAGAAGTATTCCTTACAATCAAATCAAATTAAAACCCCGGTTCTAGTATCTTCGTTGATGTTAAGCAATGTCTATCCTGGTCACTACCTAGATGGGTGACCGCTTAGGAATAAGCTTGAATGCGGGGGTGGTATACCTTACAGTCATATCAGGTTGAAACACCGATTCTCGCAGGATCACCGAAGTTAAACAACGCTGAGCTTGGTCACTACATAGATGGGTGACCGCTTGGAAATGCCAAGTGCTGTAAGCTCGGATGTGTGAGCTGTAGACCTTACTGTCATATCACGTTGGAACACCGATTCGCGTAGGATCACCGAAGTTAAGCAACGCTGAGCTTGGTCAATATCTAGATGGGTGACCGCTTGGAAATACCAGGTGCTGTAAGCTTGGATGTGCGAGTTGTGTAATGGATAATTGCTCGGATTGTTAATCGGTGAACCGAGTTCCAATTTCAGTCGGGTTCGTTATATATGAAACCACCTCTTCTGCTCCCATCTATGGATTAAATAGTAATTTTTTTATAGCATTATGCAAAGGGTCTTGTGATGCAAGCGAAGACTGAGGTGCTTTTTTTAAAATTTTAGTATATACATTTATATCAAGGAATATGAACGTCTATTTGCAACGACAATTTGTGGGACGTGTCTACCCCAAGGTTACTGGGGCTAAGGTCTGAGTTATCAAATGTTGGACGAAAATGTAGACATTTCATCATATCAACGCCGTAAATGTCTATCTCCCAGGAAGTATATATCCTCAAACATCTTTTATCCGAGTTATACGCACTAAAAGAATGGAATGCTTGCTCGGCCATCACCCCTAGAATAAACAAATTGAAAAGACGATAAAAAGAGAGTCGTTTCTGCCTTACTTCAGTGCAAATTGAAAGCTGAAACGAGAGAAAGGTTTCTGGAAATTTGCAGGGTCGCGGAGCGGGGTGGGGGTGGCGGGAAAGTGAGAAGAAACACAGTACATCTATTCTTTCAGTGTTACAGAGTCGCCATTGTTCCGAATATGCAAAATGAACAAGCCTCAACAGAAAAAAAAAAAAACTAGCGTAAAGAAAAAAAAAAAAATAATATATATATATATATATATATATATATATATATATAGAAAGAGAGAGATCTATAAATAAAATAACACTCTTTTTATTTTATCTTCTTATGACTCCCAACATCACCCCCCACATCCCACACACACACAAACACACACAAACGCACATACCGGCTGTAACAGCAAAATTGTCGAAATCCTATAACATCCAACAAAATGCTTAACACCTAAACTAATTGAGTTTCTTTTTTTCCAGATTTTTAGTTAAGATTTTGCTTTTAACCGATTTGGACAATTTGCTATTAGACCCGATATATATATATATATATATATAATGTCATCCACAGACAGACTGTTTCGCTGTTTACAGCTCATCAGTGCGGCTAGACATCCGTTTGCCTCTAGCTAGGATCGAAACCCGACTGAATTGGTGTCAGTCGGAGCTTCTAACCACTAAGCCGTCGGCTTAGCGGTAGGAATGGAGGTAGATTTTTAGCGTATTTACTTTTTTTGTAAACATGCCCAGTGACTGACAGTGACTCAATTCGCTTACGCGAAGAGTCTCGCTATATTAGCTATAATAGTCACTGTTTACAAACCCATATATATATATATATATGTATGTATAAATATAAAAGTGAACATAGAAGTCAACACTGAGAGGCGACAGTCTGTTTCATGCTATATGCAATCGTCAGGCCATATCAGGTGGCCTGACGATTGCATCTAGGCTGAAACAGACTGTCGCCTCTAAGTATTGACTTCTATGTTCACTTTTATATTTACACACGCTCTATCTCTGATATTGAGCACTTTATCCCATAAATATAGCACAGCTTAAGACTATATTTCTTCATATATATATATAAGTTAAGTAACGAATATCTTGGTAATCCGTATGGATAATTCCAAAGAGGGTGAAATCCTGAGAGCTCAATGTTAATTCAGAGCGAATAATTTAATTTAAAGAAAGACAGATCACTTTAAGGCTCCATTGTAATAATTTATTTCACCAGAGAATTTTATCCTTCTCTGGATCCTCAGACTTCACTTTCAAAAGGTGAAACAAAAAATGAAATTAAAATTTACACTTTTTACTGACAGTATTAAGCTTATATAAGTTGACATAGAGGGTGGTGAGGGTTGGTATGAGAGACATGGTTGAGTTTAGAGAGGGAAGGGAGAATTTTAAAATTTATTTTTATATTTCTTTTTATAAATACTTAATATTGAGGAAGGAGGAGATAAGAATCAGACATTGATCTATTTAATCGGTCAAATCAACGGAAATGACATGGGAAAAGGAAAAGGAGAAAAAAGGGAAAAAGAAAAAAGGGGGAATAAAGAGATAAGAGATGTACTTAGGGCTTTTGAAGGAAGAAGAGGGGTGGTATAGCTTTAGTAATTTAGATAAATATAGATTTTAACGTTTGATAGTAATTTCGATGTTTAAAAATTCGACAAATAAAATAAATTTGATACTTGTTAGCAATTTAAATATTGAACTTCTCCACAATTAAATTAGGGATTTAATATAAGGTGAATACTATATTAATAAACAGCAATATTAAAAAAAATAAAAAAATAAATGAAAAGATAAATAAAAAGGATAAAATTCTCTGGCGAAATAAATTATAACAATGAAGCCTTAAAATGATCTGTTTTTCTTTAAATTATATATATATATATATATATATATATATATATATATATATATATATATATATATATTTTCATTGAATTTACCATAGTCTTGGGGATGGCGATAACCTGCATCTGGCAACAAGTCTCTGATCGGGAGATTGAAGGTTTTGTGGAGTCTAGAACCACATTTTAATGAATGTTGTTCCCATGTCAACCTTGACCAGTGGTTGTACCCCATGTTATGGTCACAGCTATGGTCAAATAGTGAACACCCGGCATATACAGCACACTACGTCACTTACAAGTAGTCGAATAATTCTCGTTTCTTTCGTATTCCAAAGATAGATGTACTCTTCGGCCAGATTTTTTCCTAATCCATTTTTTCTAATCCATTTTTTGCTTAGTTTCCGAATATGGCCAGAATTGTCTGGCCATATTAATACGTGATGCTGAAAGTAAATATTTGTTGTTAGATGAAGACGACTTACAAGAATATTACCTATGCTTAGACCTAGTTTTCCTTGTCTCCTTCGAAGTAATTCTTTCTGATATGGCTCCAACTACATAAAAAATTATTGATCGAATGTAAAAATGATCTACAAAACTTTCCAACGTTGCCTTCTTCTTCTTCTTCTTCTTTTTCTTCTTGTGTGTATTCTTTCATTACTCCTTCTTCTTTCACCTCCTCTTCTTTTTATTCTTTCTCTTTCTCCTCCTCCACCTTCTTCTTCTTTTACTTCCTCTTCTATTTGTTCTTTCGCTTCTTCTTCTTCTTCTTCTTCTTCTTCTTCTTCTTCTTCTTCTTATTCTTCTTCTCCGCCGCCTCCTCCTTCTTCTTCTTCTTCTTCTTCTTTTTCTTCCTTTTTCACTACCTATTCTTATTCTTTCGCTTCTCCTTTTTTCACCTTCTTTTCATTTTCTTCTTCTTCTTCTTTCACTTCCTATTCTCCTTCTTCTTCTTCTTTTTATTGTTTCGCTTCTACTTCATCTTCTTCTTTCACTTCCTCTTCTTTTTCTTCTTCTTTTTCTTTCTCTTTCAATTCTTCTTCTCTTTATTCTTTTGCTTCTTCTGCTTCTTCTTTTTTCAATTTTTCTTCTTTCAATTCTTCTTCCTTTTATTCTTTCACTTCTTCTTCTTCTTCTTCTTATTATTATTATTATTATTTTGCTTCTTCTTCCTTTCATTTTGTCTGAATCCAGTGTCTCGCCAGGATGTAAGCGGTCATAATACTCCACAGCTTCCTTTTTCTATTTTCTGGGAATTGCCATGCATTTTTTAGGGAAAGTTATTGTAGTTCTTTCCCATTAAATTCCACAATAAATACTATCAGCCCAAATTTAAAGAAATTATGAAAGCAAAATAACTGGGTCTAGAGAACCAAACATAAAACTATCTGAATTCGTGTTTGTGAAGAAGACACTGTCACTCGGCGTCACCCACAGAAGCCTGATAGCACTGAATCGGCGGAATGTTGCAGACATCAAATACAAAAACTTATGTACGAGTGTCCGTTAGAAAACTGCACTTCCGATCATAACTCTAAACGAGCTCTATACATTGGTCTTACTACCACATCTTTTTCGCGCCGACTTACATGCCAGCTTTCTCAAAAGATTGCAATTTAGCGTCAGGTTACGCATCTCCACGATGTCTCTACGTCAGATATTAGCGGACAATAAAAAATTTTAAAATTAATAATGAAAAATAAGAAAATAATGAAAGATGAAAGAAGCACCGTAAACAGTTTGGAAATAAAGTTACAATATTTCAAAATTTTACTTTCAGCAGGTTCGGGCACCGTTACATTTTGCTCTCAAAGTAAGAAATTATCTTGATGTAACATTTCCAGGAAGATGGTTTCGTTTTGTTTGGGTTATTTAGTTTAACGGTCTATCAACATCAAAGGGTTATTAAATGCCGACAAGATTTTTTTGGAATAGGTTCATATGAATAAAATATGTATTCTTTGTAAGAAATCATTTCATAGATAAAGTTTCTGATGTAATAGAATAACCTGACACCCCCATGAGTAACTACACTACAAGTAGTAACGGACTACGGACGCTAGCTGGGATCTGTTGAGTACGACTCAGACTTACGCGAGAACTACCGACCTTCGATTAGCAGCACTCACTACTGGATTTACTTGCGACGATCGTGCGCATAACTCTTCTCTTATTACTTATTGTACTGGTGTTTACAATAAACTTTTACTTATATTATTCACCGTGGTGTTCTAGAATATGTTCCTATTAGCACGGAATATCACAGTTTCATTGATATATTTAGGTAAAGAATGATTTAGTTGAGAGACAAACCTATATTGCTGATAATAATTTTTTTTCCTTCAAAAATTTGTTGCAAAACAGTGTCATTAAACATATTCGATATATATATATATATATATATATATATATATATATATATATATATATATATATATGTGTGTGTGTGTGTGTGTGTGTGTGTGTGTGTGTATAAGTGAATAAGTGAAAATGAAGTCAACACTCAGAGGCGACAGGCTGTTTCATGCTAGACGGAATCGTCAGGCCGCGACGATTGCGTCTACCATGAAACAGCCTGTCGCCTCTGAGTGCTGACTTCAATTTTCACTTATATATATATATATATATATATATATATATATATATATATATATATATATGTGTGTGTGTGTGTGTGTGTGTGTAGGTGTGTGTGTATAAGTGAAAATTGAAGTCAACACTCAGAGGCGACAGGCTGTTTCATGCTAGACGGAATCGTCAGGCCGCGACGATTGCGTCTACCATGAAACAGCCTGTCGCCTCTGAGTGCTGACTTCAATTTTCACTTATATATATATATATATATATATATATATATATATATGTGTGTGTGTGTGTGTGTGTGTGTGTAGGTAGAAATTGAACACTCAGAGGGCGACAGGCTGTTTCATGCTAGACGGAATCGTCAGGCCGCGACGATTGCGTCTACCATGAAACAGCCTGTCGCCTCTGAGTGCTGACTTCAATTTTCACTTATATATATATATATATATATATATATATATATATATGCATATATATGTAGATAGATATGAACAGAGATAGATAGATAAATAGATACTGAACAGATTGAGATAGATAGATAGATAGATAGATAGATAGATAGATATGAACAGATTGAGATAGATACATAGATAGTTACATATAAACAGAGTGAGACAGATATATAGATATGAACAGATAGATAGATCGATAGACAGATATGAACAGAGATAGATAGATAGAGAGATAGATTTATATAAGCAGAGTGAGATAGATATGAACAGAGATAGATAGATAGATAGATAATGAATACATTGGGATAGATAGATAGATACAAATGAACCGATTGACATAGAATATAAACAATTGTGTGCTTAACTAAATATGATGACTGCTGTCACTCGATTTCAAGAACTGCCATTGCTTGATTTATTATTAAATATGGTCAAAACGTTTATAGCTTTTTAGTTCTGTTAGAGTCTGACATTCTTCTGCGCAGATGAGGCAACGTTGGGACCCCCCCCCCCTTCTGTATTTGCTACATTAATATTTTGATGAAATTTTAATATGTGGCGTTTTGATCATTTTATAGGCCTACCAACTTACCGAGGCGCGACCACATTGCTTATACTTTATATCAATCTCTGGGTCTCCATTCTCAGGGAAGTTAACTTCAAGGCCCTTACGAACACGATTCTGATCTGAGTCTCGCAAACTAGTAGGCGCTACTCTCCTTATGGATGATCGATCTGCCAGAGTCTTTCAAAAACTTCCAAGCCTCGCCCATAAAGATGAAGCGTAGCTGTGAACCATTTTTGTTGTGGCAACAGACTATCACTCCTTATAAAACTAGAAAAACCTAATTCAGATGTCTTTCCGCCCTATACAAATGTGAGGTGTGCGACAAATCTAAAAAGGGAACAAACAGAGACTTGCACACTGACGTCATAGATTCCCAAGTGGGCATCTATGCGGACGACACTACTATTTATTCCTACCACAAAAACAAATCTAGGGTCGCCGACAAAACTAACCTGGCCGTTTATCTCGAAAAGGACCGCCAATCGGTTGTGGACTGAGGCAGGTATTGGCTGGTTAACTTTAATGCCTCAAAAACAAAACTGTTCTCTATTACTCACCAGAGAGAACCATCCCTGCCTCCCATTAGAATGTCTGACGCTCAACTCCATGAGAGCAGCTCTTTGCGACTGCTCGGTCTCACATTGTCTGCTGACCTGAGATGGAACGAATACATTGAGTCAATAGCCTCGTCCACCGCAAGGAAAGTTGGCTCCCTGTGCTGCGCCAGGAAATTTTTCTCGCCGGAATCGATCCTTCAAATCTACAAATTAACCATTCGACTTTTCATGAACTATTGATGCCATATATGGTCTGGAACCCCTTCTCTTTGTCTCAAGGTCTTTGATAAAATCCATATATGGATATGCAATGTAATTGGCCCTGATCTGGTATATCGTCTGCAGTCGCTCTCTCACAGACGTGCAGTCGCCTACCTCTGTCTTTTTGACAAATACTTTGATGGTAATTGCTCCGATGAGCTGCTTGCGCTGGTTCCCAGACTTCATGAATTTAAGCGTTCTACTAGGCTGGCATCTCTCTCTCTCTCACCCTTTCACTGTCGAAACTCCTAAATGTAGCCATCTCTTCTACTCCAATAGCTTCATGTCTCTCACCTCTCACCTGTGGAACTCCCTCCTCTTTTCATGTTTTCCTGATAGCTATAATCTGCAACTATTCAAATATAATGTCAATCGACGTCTCCAGTGGCCTTGATCTATCCCCTATCCTTCTCTTCATCCTTTCCTCAATCACCCCTCTTTGCAATCGGGGCAGAGACTGCTCAGAAGAAGACCCTTGGTCAGGTTGTCCGAAAACCTCAACCACCGATGAACAAGTCTATGCCACTCACAGGATGTTTTTTTTTTTTTTTTTTTGCTGACGGACGTCTTAGTCTCCAGAAGATTGCTAAGTCTATTGGCATTAATTCTGGCTGGGTCCATACTGTTTTAACTGAGATCTTGGTGATGAGCCGGCTGTCTGAAACATGGGTCCCAAGAATGCTGACACCCGAACAGAAGCTGAAAAGAGTTGACATTTCCAGAATAGTTCTGACTCGCCTCTAAGCCGACATTGAGAATTTCCATCGCAGATTAATAACACAAAATGAAATCAGTTCAGCACTTCAAACCTGGATCAAAAATTCAAACTAAACAATCAACCTAGATCAAGTTCAAGTTGAGAAACAAATCAAAACTAAAAAAAAAAAAAGTAACGTTAATTTAAACTCATTTTATTTCCACATATAACTGGAACTTGATCTTTAGCAATACTAAAACATCCTCTTATATAAAGTGTTTTGAAATAACAATGCTGGCTTTTCATTGGCTCACAATTAACCAATGAAATGTCAAAAGAAATACAACTCAGATTTAAAAAAAAAAAAAGGATAGAGTATTTTTCTTCCTATTTTGATTTCATGTGACAGATTCGTTTTTTACGAGTTATCAACCTTTTTCAGGTTATTTAAAGCCCCAAAATAATTTTCTTTTAGATTGTAACCATTTTTTCACAGATAATAATAATTTAGTATTTCATGTTTTACTAATTAAGACATCAGAACTATATTAACAGACTGCTGTCCACACCTGCTAACGTAAGCCTACAACTGAATATCATCAACGTCTGGTGCGTTGTCCTTTTCCTAAAAAAGTTTTAATTTTTAATATTTTCTCTTTCAGTCAAAATGGTGGCTGCTACAAAGACTCCACTTCAGACTTGATTAATGGTCATAAAACACTTAAGACAGAGATAAAAATCACACGTCATCCCCTTCTATGTGAGTGTCCCAATCATAGCATAAAACTTTATAACCAGGTTTGTTTACAAAGAGTTTCTGTTTCTGGTAATAGAATACAAGACAAAAGAAAAGGTAATTGGCACGCTTCCCAATTAACAAGGCATTTTCATGAAAAGGTCGAAAAAGTTTCTATCAGTTTTTAACGATTTGCAACATTATCAGAAAATGAACACAGAGGCAGAGGGAATCTCCCCGTCACCCTGAAGAAAAGAAATAAAGCAAAACTAATAAAAAAAGTAGCCTTAATTCAAACACATTTTAGTTCCACAGTCAACTGGAACTTGATCTTTAGCAATACTAAAAGACATCTTCTTATATAAAATGTTTTGAAATAACAATGCTGGCTTTTCATTGGCTCACAATTAACCAATGGAATGTCAAGAGAAATACAACTCAGATTTGAAAAAATGGATAGAGTTGTTTTTATTTACATTATTCGGACTATTGTCCTCATCTTTGTCGCCATATTTATTACAACGTTTCGGCCCTTCAGTATCTGTCTATATTTCTGAGATGAGGTATTATGTACATTATTTACATTATTCGGACTATTGCACTCATCTTTGTTGCCATATTTATTACAACGTTTCGGCCTTTCAGTATCTGTCTATATTTCTGAGATGAGGTATTATGTACACTATTTACATTATTCGGACTATTTTCCTCATCTTTGTCGCCATATTTATTACAACTTTTCGGCCCTTCAGTATCTGTCTATATTTCTGAGATGAGGTATTATGTACACTATTTACATTATTCGGACTATTGCACTCATCTTTGTTGCCATATTTATTACAACGTTTCGGCCGTTGTACGCTCCGGCTTTCTTCAGGTGGTTGGAATGTCAAACTGAACCCTTTATTTCGCTCACTGGGGTAGACTGTTCTAGTTCCACGTGCCATGTTTTAATGGATGTCAGTTATCAGTTATCTCCTGTTAATTTCTCTCTCCAAGTTCACCACTGCCTTAACCGGGTATTGAACTCACACACTTTGGGTCCTGTAACCGGATCTAACCAACACCTTTATATGGCTGACCACATATGAAGAGAAAAGAGAGATCATCACCTTCTGTGGGAGCATGTTGAGATCATAGACAAAGAACACCATTGGAAAATTTGTAAACTTAAGGTATCAGCAGATAGGCCACAAAAATCTCCTGAGCCGACCAAACATAGAAATGAATACAATATGGGAACCAGTAATAAAGAGTGCCAGAGAAAAGCGATAATAGCAACAAAAATTGCAATATGGGATCTGGTAAAAAATGATGCTGAAGACATTAGGTTTATAATACCCAGAAATTCATACACAGATATCCTCAAGGACACATGGCACAGTGGATAAAGGCGTTGGTTAGATCGAGTGAGTTCTAATTTGCCAATGGGCATCCAATATACGGCTGAGACACTGTGGGTGAATTCACTCCAGCCTTTTTACGTGGAAGTGACCCAGGTCTGACATGAACACAACAAAGAAGGCAAGACATAATTATTTTAAACCCTGAACTTCATCTCAATCGAAATTCGATGCAAGTGTATAACAGCAAAAATGTCCAATTGTTAGCTTAGGCTCAGAACCGCTGTATCTTAGAAATGATTAAAGATATCATACTGGAATTCCATGAGGTTTCTATAAAACTATTGGACTCTACGTTGAACAATAAAAATGTATAATTACTCTCCAAGCTTAACAAAATAATCGTGATGAAATCGATCATAAACGAAAATGACATGTTCATCATTAATTAACTATAGTTAAGGATCGGACCTCATGAAGTTTATATATATATATATATATATACATATATATATATATATATCTGTTTCGCGCTGTTTTTACTATCTATCTATCTATCTATCTGAAACAGCGTCCATCACATGAGCATTTGTATATTTTTTAAATAAACAATACATCTATCTATTTGATTCTGTTCATATCTATCTATCTATCTATCTATCTATTTTGGTGTTTTCACTATCTATCTATCTATCTATCTATCTATCTATCTATCTATCTTTTTCTTCTTGTTCTTGTTCTTCTCTCTCTCTCTCTCTCTTTATCTATCTATCTATCTATTTCGGTGTTTTCACTATATATCTATCTATCTATCTATCTATCTTTTTCTTTAACTTCTTCTTCTTCTCTCTCTCTTTATCTATCTATCTATTTGATTCTGTTCATATCTATCTATCTATCTATCTATCTATCTATCTATCTATCTATCTAGGTATCTATCTATCTGTCTTTTTCTTCTTGTTCTTGCTCTTCTCTCTCTCTCTCTCTTTATCTATCTATCTATCTATTTCGGTCTTTTCACTATATATCTATCTATCTATCTATCTTTTTCTTTTACTTCTTCTTCTTCTCTCTCTCTTTCTATCTATCTATCTATCTATCTATCTATCTATCTATTTGATTCTGTTCATATCTATCTATCTATCTATCTATCTATCTATTTCGGTGTTTTCACTATCTACCTATCAATCTTTTTCTTCTTGTTCTTGTTCTTCTCTCTCTCTTTATCTATCTATCTATCTATCTATCTATTTTGATGTTTTCACTATATATCTATCACTGTCAGTCTTTTCGTCAAATGAACTAAATTTAAACTTATTAAACTTTTCCTTCTTATATTAA